CTGCACTGTACCTGAGACTCTCCACGAGCTGTGTGCTGTCGCACATGGGGCTGATCTCCATCCCCGCGTCCGCTCGCGTCGCCCTGCTGGAAGAACTCGGCCATGATGCGGTCTGTCACTGGCGGTACAGGTCCAGCGGCTTGGTGGGGTTGCTGAGGTCCGCACAGTGCACCATGTTCCTCAGGACCTGCACGGGCACGGGCCCTTCAGAGGCCATGCTCCTCCTGTCCCAGGGGGAGGCGTCAGGCTTCCTTACCTTCCCCCCTTGGGCGGAGAGTGGGTAAGGGGAAGATGCCGAGAGACAGAGCAATAAAGAGGAAGATGAGTGGGGGAAGGAGGGAGGAGATAAGAAGGGGTTAATGGAGGAAAGGGCAGAGGGAAGGAGGATAATGGAGGGAGGGAGGTGTGGGGGAGATGGAGAGAGGTAAGGGAAATGGGGGAGAGGGGAGGGGAAGGTGGGGGAGAGGAGAAGATGGTGGGGAAGAGGGGAAGGGAGGGGTTGATGAAGGGAAGGAAGAATTGGGGGAGATGGTAGGAAGTGGGGGGAGATGGGAAGGGAGGTGGGGATTGGAAGGGGAAGATGGGAAGGGAGAGAGAAAAACAGACAGGAAGATGGGCAAGAAGAGAGCTGGAGAGCAACCCAGATCTGAAGGGTGGAGGGGCGGGGACGGGACCAGTCTTCTTATATGATGTGTGAAGGGGGCACCTGGATGCGGTCGGAGTAGTTGTCCAGCAGAAGGACCCCTGAGCTGGTCACTTTCTTGGTTTCTACCATGGTCTTCAGGTCGGCTAGGAGGGTCATGTGCTTGGACATGTCGGTGGCCAGCACCTGCGGACAAGGGGGCCGTCACAGGGGCCACTGGATCTCCCCACCAGGCCGCTGTGCGGGCCGGAGCTTCTCAAGTTTTCCCTGGGCACGACCTGTCCCCACAGGTCCCGCCAAAAGACTCCCCCCGCCCAGGGGCCTTTCGGTCTCAAACTCAGACCTTCCCACGGTGCCACCCCTCCAAGCCGACCTTTCCTGGTCTGCCCCCGCCCCGCCCACCATGTCGATGACCATCTTGCGCAGGCTCTGCCGCTGGCGTTTGCTGAGGTTCTGGAAGATGTCACAGTTGTCCTGCTGCAGCAGCTTGAAACCCACGGCCAGGTGGTGGTTCTCCAGCACCGACTCGTCATTGTACATGAGCGCCAGCTCCGAATCTGCCCAGGCGGGGCGGGGGGTCAGGGGGAGAGAGCGCCCACAGGTGGGCCCGCCCACCTCCACTCCAACAGCCCCCCCCCCCATGGAGGGGCGCTCACTGGTGTTGATGAGGAACTGGTTGGAGACCCCAGGGTGGTCCACGTCGTGTATGGCAGCCGCGAAGAGGGCTGCCAGGATCTCCAGGTCTGTGAATACAGCCTGGAGGCAGAGAGAGGGAGTCAGCGAGACACAGGGTTAGAAAGACGGGAGCTCAGAGAGAAACAGAGAAGGATCAGAGAGAGGAACGGGGTCAGAGAGAGACGGAGGTCAGAGGCCCAGAGTCAGAGACGGGCAGTCAGAGGGGGGTGAGGGAGGCAGGGTGAGGCGGGCGGAGCTCACGTCCAGCGCAGGTGTGGCCAGCAGCACGTGGGTGGACTGGAGCACATCGGCGGCGTGCAGGCTGTTGTGGTAGGCCACGTCCTGGTGGTAGTGGTCCTCCAGAGTCAGCATATATGTCACCATCGTGTCCACCGGGATGTGGAACTTCTTCAGGAGGTCCCGTTCCTGAGGACAGGTATGGAGAGGCGGCGACCCCCACTAGCCCTTAGCTCCCCGCCCTGAGCCCCTCCCTCTCACTGCCCCTCGCCCGGCCCCACTCAGCCCCCCGCCCCCCTACCTGGAATATGGTGTACATGATGCAGCTGAGGGAGCGGCCCCTGGCATAATCTGACACGTGGAAGATGTTCAGGCCCCACTTGTTCAGGTCCTCCAGCTCCTGGAGGAGATGGAGGCCAGGCATCAGGAGCCTGTGAGGGCTTAGGTCTGAAGGTAGCGCCTCCATTGCTGACCCGTGGGTGGCATGCTCAGTAGTATCGCATTTACAGCCCAGGGCCCACTGGGCGGAGAAACAGAAAGCAACCACAGCGGCTGTTTATGGAGCACTTATCTGCCAGGCACTGCACTAGGCACTTGGTCTCATTTGACAGGGGCAGAGAAGGGATGTGACTTACCCAAGACCCTGTAGCCTCGAGCTAAACTGCTCATGGGGGCCAGGAGGAAGGAAACATGGGCTAATTTCCCACGTCTTCCCAGGATCCAGAACGGTGCCAGCTTAAGAGGGTGGGGGCCCAGCAGGGGGCCCAGCACAGCGCATGCTCTAAACACGGGGGGTGGGTGGGGGGGGTGGGGGGCGACCCAAGGCAGCACAGGGCAGGGTCAGCTCACAGAGGGGTACAATAAATGTCGGCGGCGTGTCGGCGGAGAGACCACCACGTCTACTGTACAAATCAATGCGAGGGCCCCGCGGCTCAAGGTCTCTCGGAAGAGTCAGACGCCAAACCCAGGTCTGGCCTGCAGTGCACACTGTTGGGGTTCTGCCCAAATCCCCTTCACCGGCCACTGGCCCACCTCCTCGCTGCTGGGACTGTTGCTTCTAAGGCTCACGGCTGCCCCATTCTCCAGAAAACTGCTTTTGCCCCCACAGGAGCTACATGGAGGGGATGATGCATCCCCCCGGGGCAGCCCCAGCCAGTGATGACACAGGGCTACAGAGGCAGGCGCGCTCCCCTCAAGGTGGGCTCCCCTCTGCGGTGCTGCTCACAGCTCCCCGTGAGACCCAGCTGAGGCCAGGCTCCAACGGAGACCACCTCCTTGCTTAGCTCCGTTTGCTCCTGCTCCCAAGAGTCTCAGAAATTCATGTTATGCCCCTGGCTTTTAGACAAACCTACATTAGGACCTGTTTCTGCTCACCGAAAGAAATCCAAAGAGGATTTTTGCCTTTACAAAAAAAGCCAAAACGGAAATCAGTGCTTAGCGTTTGTTTTGCAGCAGCGGTTACACAGGCGGCAGCACCCTGAGCAGCGAGCGGCCCTGCCAAACTCCTTCCCAGGACCGCACGGGGCACCTGGGCATCCAGGCACCAGAGCTGTGAACTGTGTCTGTGAGCACCTGTGCTTTACCTCAGTTCATTCTGTGCAACCATTAGCGAGATGTGTCCTAAGTGTCAGAAAAGCCTAAGAGAGCTTGTAAGGGTGTTACACGTCATGTAAAACTGGATGTAATTAAGTGTTTTGATCATCCTATATAATCAAAGGCTAATATGCAAATTGTCCCCTCGACCAGGGCAGGCCAGCCAATCGCCCGAGGCCCCTCCCCCTGGCTGGTCCCACCCCCGATCGGGGCGGACCTAACCCTTGCATGAATTCGTGCACTGGGCCTCTAGTAAACCAAATAAAGACACATGAATTAACGCTAACGGCTTCATTTTACACCGTGTGGGTTTACGAAAGGTTTCATAGGAATGCTCTGAGGACCCGTCCACCCCAATCCGCATCTCAGGCTCACCCAACACCCAGTCCTTCCCCAGGAAACCCTGCCCCTCTCCAGCCCAGCCCCTGCTGGGCCCCCACCCACTTGGGCCAGGAGCTCCTCTTGGTCTGTCTTCACCCCAAAGCGGGGTATGCTGGCGTCCGTCAGGCTGCTGCTGTGCGTCATCTTCTTCACCCCCGTGATCTGAGACATAGGCTGGAACTGTGGCTCCGGGGGTGGGGGCTGCTGGGAGGGTCTCGGCCGAGGTGCCCTTTCTCCATCCCTCATCATGGGCGATGGGATCTCCACTTCATTCTGCTTGTCTGTAGAAGATGGAGGAGAGCGAGCATGGGTCCCCCTCAGAGATCCCCTCATCTGGCCCTCAGCCCCCATCCCATTAGCTTTGGGAAGTTTTGCCCAGGACGGAAGACCCCTTCTGGGTGTCATGCTGTTGGTTACTCATAGCTGGAAACCAGAGGGGAGGAGGAATCTTTCTGGGAAGTTGGTGGGCTGGGGTGGGGACTTTGGGGCCTGCCAGGAGCTGGGGTGGCATGGAAGTCAGGAAGTGGGGTGGGGATGTCAGAGAGGCTGCCTGCCCTGATTGGAGGTGGCTGGGAAGACAAGTCCCTGGTGACGGAGAGTACTGGTGGGGATGGCCAGTGCTGGGAGGAGGGAGAGAAGGGTGGTCTTTGGCTCCATGGACCCCCAGCCCTACTGGGTAACACCAGTCTGCCTGGCAGGTAGGCCCTGGAGCCTTTTTCCTGAGCTTTCAAGGGCCTCCAGAGCCCAGTCAGGGCCACCCATTGTGACCTGCCCCCCCCAACCCCCCCAGTCAATGACAGGGCCCTACGGGGGTCATTTGCCTGCCATGCTCCCATTGGCTGGATCTCAGAACTTGGCGCAGCCACATCCCCACTGGTGGGAGCATTTGAAAATCAGAACCTTCTCTTAAACTTGGGGTGGGGTATACACCTCCTGACTTTGGGAACCTCTGGTGATAAATTGTGAGGGTGAAATCCCGTGTTTGTGAGGAATATTCTCAGCTTGGGCTCTTGAGTTCAGAGGGTGGGGTGAACTGGAGATACCCAGGAGCTTGAGGGTTCCGATAAAGGTGGGGTACTCTGCATTAGGGTGCCACTGAGAGGAAATGCTCCTCAGTTTGGGGAAATCTCTTCCGGTTCTTAAGCTTTAGAAGTCTGTTGAGTTTGATTATCTAAAGTTTGGGGATACTATTGAATGTGGGAGACTTTTCAGCTTGAAGGTTTTTTATTTAAAGTTTGGAGGTTGTTTGTGGATTCTTCAGGGCAGAAGTTTCCTTACATTTGAGAGCCCTACTGAGTTTAGACATCTCTCTTGAATTGGGGGGCTCTTCTTTTTTTTTTGGACTCCAAGTTTGCAGATTTTTTTTTTTTTTTTTTTTTCAGCCTGGAGGCATTTTCTTATCTTTTTTTTAAACAAGTATTGGTTGAAGAGAGAGATGAAGACTGAGAGAGAAAGAGAGAGCGAGAGGAACACAGACTTGGCCCGCAACCCAGGTACATGCCATTAGTTGGCTCCAGCAGGTGCCCAAGTAGGGATCGAGCCCACAAACCCGGTGGCGCATCAGGACAACACTCCAGCCCACTGAGCCACCCGGCCGGGGCTCAGCCTGGAGGCATTATCAAGTTTAGGAATCCTATTTGAGTTTGGGGGTTTCTTGGGGTCATGAGTTTCAGAGTTCCATGGGGGTTCCCCCGAGTTTGGGAGAGCTTTTCCGTTGGGAGAGACGTTGAAATGTGGTGTTCTACAGAAGTTAGGGTCCCACTGGATTTGGGGGCATCATGAGGATGGGAAGTCTTGACCATGGTGCCTCTGACCTTTGGAGAGTTGAGTCAGAGTCCACCTTGGGCAAAGGTGGGCAACAGGACCCGAGGTCTGGGGGGGCCCTCCAGCCCAGGTGTCACCCCTGCGCGGGCTGCCCTCACTCACCCAGGAACGTGGAGGAGATGTACTCAGAGACCTGGTTTCCTGACCTGCTCATCTCTGACAGGTGTGTGAGCTCCCGGTTTAGCATCCTCTTGAACTAAGGTGAAGGAGGCAAGAAGGAAGGAAGGATGGAGTCGAGGAAAAGGGGGGAAGTCAGCCTCGCCCAAGAAACTTCTGAAGACTCCATGAGTCCCTCCTACTTCTCTGTTCAGCCAACAGAGCCCCCAGCAAGCTGCCAGAGGGGAGGGGTCAGCCCTTCCTCTCCTCCAGCTCCTGATGGGAGTCCCCAGGCTTGGGGAGTCCCCAGGCCTGGGGAGACTGGGCATCTCTCTCCTTGCCTGAGGAACTGGGGCTCCCCAGTCCATACTCTCTCCCTCTCCCCCCAAGGAGGAGCCAGAGGGGCACCTGTGGAAGGGAGGGGCTCCTCACAGGGAGCCAATGAGGTATCAGGAGAATCCCATTGCCATGGAGATGGGAGTCTCCTTAGCAACTCCCCTTCCAACCAGCTTCTGGGCTTGGGGGAAAGGCGGGGTAGGCTGCAGGCCCCTTAACCCTTGCCTTCCCAGAGCTACTCCTGGCCCCTGTGTCCCCAGACGGGGACCCCACTCCCTGGGAGTCCTGGCCTCCAGCACTCAGCCCAGGTGGGAAGGAGGGGGCACAGTTCCCAAGTTCTGGGCGAAGAGAGGTTTGTCTGGAGCAGGGGAGAATGGTGAGCTTAGGAAGCCCTATTCGGTCACCCGGCAGAGGGGTTTCCCCATCATCGCCCCCTCTTCCCTGGCCCCAGGAGGCAGACAGATGCACAGATGAATGTAATACACCCAGCACTGGGCTTGGGGGCCTCTCCTGGTGCCCCCATGCTACTTCACGCAGCATCTGCGGTGACATTGTGCAAGGAGGAGAAAGGGCACCAGCTCCCCGCCCCCCAGCTGCCAAAGCACCCCAAAATCAGAAGCAGACAATGTCCAGAGATGCAGGAGGGACACTGGGCAGGAGGGTAGGCCTAAGTGCCCACCCTGGACGGGCACTTCCTCCGCCCAGTGCTGCCCGGAGACCCTGGGCACATAAAGAGAGAGACACACGCACACGCACACGCACCCGCACACGCACACGCAAGATGGACCCACAAAATCACAAACCGCACACAGATTTCTGTTACACAGTTCACACAGCCACAGACATGTAAATCAAGGGGCATGGACAATAAGTTGGTCACTGACACTCGAGGTCACATGCCCCAGAAAAATCATGTAGTTCTGGACTCACAAACATGTCCAACACACAATACAATCGGAGCCCTATGATCTCAGACAGGGCCACACCATGCCCCAGGCAAACAAGCATATAGTTAGGTGGCCCCACACCACTGCAGACACACATGTGTGTACCGACAGTCACACCCAGAGAGATCCACACCCCCAGCCACCCACCGTCTACACCCAGCCCTGGGCCACACACAGAGACACAGTCATAAGCATTCATTTCCAGGCCACACACGTGCACAGCTGAACACACAAGTTCAGACCAGAGGTTGATGGGTCAGAGGTCAGAGGGCCTCCTGCCCATCCACCACCCCGAGGTCCCCTACCTGGTCCCACCAGCCCACCAGCCATGGCTTGGAGCAGGTCTCGCAGAAGAAATCCACCAAGGGCATCTTGGAGTCTAGCCCCGCTCAGGGCTGCCGCACACAGAGGCAGAGCTTGGGGCGTCCTGGGGTTCACAGCCACAGTGTGGGGTGGGGGTGGGGTGCTGGGCAGGTGGGCAGTGGAAGGGGGAGCCGCGGAGGGGCCTGGGCCGGCCCAGCAGGGCTGGGGGCTCCCTTCCCCTCCGCGCTCCCGGTGGCAGCCCTGGTTACATGGTCTGCCGGCTCCTGGCCTCTGCGGGCCCCCCCACAGCAGTGGTCGGAGGTGGCCAGGGACCCCTGCCCATGGAGGGGCAGGGCGAGGGTCCCAGGAGGCGGCTTCAGAGGCTCTGGGCTCCGTTTGTGCGCCTGTGTGTGCGTGCTCACTGCAGCACTGGCAGGCTGCATGTGATGTCAGCTGGTGCTGGGGGTGGGGGGGCGTTAAAGGGGCATCGGAGCCCACAGACCTCGGCCAGGCCCAAGTGGGGCTGCCGGGATAGGCAGGGCAGCACACACCCCCTCGAGGACATGCCTCCTCCAGGGACACACCCAGAGACAAAGACACACACCCAGACGCTCCCCACACTCACGGACACACCTTCCACGCTACCACAGCCAGACACGGGCACACTGAACGCTCACAGATACCCAGATGCTTTCAGTGCTACCCCAACCACACGCACACACACACGCACACACACAGTCACAACTCTGACGGGTAACACCTCTGTAGGTAGATAGCTGAGTAACAGAGATACAAATGCCTTCAGACACGCCCCTTCCAAGAACACAGACCCACACCCAGACATGGAGACACACGCCAAGGGACACACACTCAGATACGGGCACACTTATAAACACACACTCAACACACCCACAGACACTTTCAGACAAACACAAATACCCACGTGCCCTTAGACACAAACACCCTGACAAATCCATAAGGGAGCGCACGCGCGCGCGCGCGCACACACACACACACACACACACACTCGCAGATTCACATTCAGAGATACAGTCACATGCTCAGATGCTCAATGCACCCTCAGGGACACAACCACCCTCAGACTTCTATGTTCCCAGACAGAGCTCCACCCAGAGGCATATGCACTGCCCCCAACAGACACCCCCACCTGCACACTCGTTTCCTGAGCTGCTTCCTCCCACAGGGGCTGCCACTGAGCCGCACACTCCAGGAAACACCAGGCACTCGGCCTACTTTCTGAACGGTGACCCTGGAGTTGTGCAGGGCACGGTCTGCACAGCTGTCCATGGAGGCCTTGCACCCTCCCCTGCAGCCCTGCAAGCACACGCATATGTGTGCAAGCAAACACGGAGTCACAAACACATGGAGACACACACCACAAATGTGGACCAACTCACACCTGTAGACATACACATGCCCCCGGCACAGACCCACACACAACCCTGCATAATCGCCTATGCACACCCACACCACCCATAGATACACACCTGTTCTCCACTCCGGGCCGTCTCTTGGACCACCCCCCCACCCCACACTGCTAATGTGTAGCCAACAAATGGACAGCCACACAGACTTGTCTATGGACAGATGTACACACACACACACACACACACACACACACCAGGACGGATGGACGGACGGACAGACACACACACACACACACACACACACACACACACACACACACACACACCAGGCTCCCTAGGTCCTGGGAGAAGTAAAGATCTATAGAAGCTGTGCCCCCACCCTATAGCCCTAGCCACAGATTGGCCCTGCCCACTGGGACCGCCCTGTTGCTAGCCCCGCTCCAGGCCCCGCCCCACAGGCTCTGCCTAGGAATAGCCCCACCCAGGGACTGGCCCCGCCCTGCCGGCCAGCCGAGGTCCACACACCTTGTGCGAGGCCATCTCGCTGACTGAGCGGTAGGTCTGCATGGTCTCTAGCTGCTCCAGACACCAGTCCAGCTCCTCCAACGTCTCGCGGGCCAACTGCTGACATGTCTCCTCTGGAGAAGGGGCAGCAGGGTGGTGACGGGAGGATCCACAGGCAGGCCCTCAGAGGCCCGGCCCGTGGCGATGGGGTCTGCCAGGTGAGTGGGGTGTTGGGAAAGGGGATGAATCAACTACCCTGGGCGAGGGACCCCCACTGGGGCAGTAAGAGGGGCCCTTTTCCACTACCCCTGGGCTTACCTGACAGTGTAGCCTTGCAGACTGGGGTTGGGCCACTCAGTGGGGATCGCCTGCAAAGAAATGGGGCTCCAGTGCCAGCCTGGGCCCCTCCAGATCCCTGCCCCCCTCTCCGTGAGTGGTGCCCATACTCCTTTTTGCTGAGCGCCCAGTGTGTCCCAGGCACGCTGCCAATGTACTCTGCAGC